CTCTTTGGGCTAGAGTCACATTTGTCTTTATATCCCTCAGTGTACTTGGGATGGTGCCCTGTGTGTGTGTGTGTGTGTGTGTGTGTGTGTGTGTGTGTGTGTGTGTTGGGTATTTGCTAAAGATAAATTTAACTGAAATTACCAGAATATGGTCAGTTAAATAAGAAAAATTACAGACTGATACAAAGTGTGTTAGAAGTTTTTTAGTTCCCGTTTACCCTGACTTTAGGAAGTCCTCTTTCTCCTACCCTCTCAGTGGGGCTGTGCTGTGAAAGACTGGCCTTGGCCAAAGGAAAAGAAAGAGGAGGAATTGGAAAGTGAAGTTGCTAATGATAAATAGTGAGAAAGATAAAAGAATATTGATCCATGAAGCCCACAAACTCTTTCTGGAAGAAGAAAAAGTCTCATAAGATTAAATTATAACAATTTAGTTTAAGGATCTTAATTGGCTTTCATTTTTTTATTCTGGCATGGAGCACAGCTCCATTACATAAACCACAATTGATTTTCCAGTGATCACAGTAAAGAAGATTGAGTTTATAGACAGATAAGGGCTTTAAAAAGCACAAAGAAGCCAGGCATAGTGGCACACACCTGTAATCTCAGCTGCTTTGGAGGTTGAGGCAGGAGAATCGCAAGTTCAAGAGCAGCCTGGGCAACTTGGTAAGACCCTGTCTAAAATGAAATGAAATGAAATGAAATAAAATAAAATATGGCTAGAGTGGTAGAGTGCTTGCCTAGCATATGCAAGGCCTTGAATTCAATCTTCAGGACCACAAAGAAAAGAATAAAAGCAGACTGGTCATCTTAAAGTTACTTTCCTTGTAAGGCAGGGACAAGCAAACAACTGGGTAATAACTGATTAGTTAACATCATGTTATTTATTGTAGGTCATTTCTTTTGTGTAAGGATTTAAGCAGAGGGAACTTTATCATCATACCAGTTGAAACTGGCCTGTTGAATGGCTTAAAAATGTGCTCTATACACACAATGAAATAATATTCAGCCACAAAGAAAAATTAAGTCATGACATTTGCAGGCAAGCAGATAGAACTAGAGACCATCACGTTAAGTGAAATAAGCCAGACTCAGAAAGTCAAATACAGTATTGCATGTTTTCTTTCAAATGAGGGATCTAGAAAAGCACATAAATAAATTTAAAAAGAGTTGACATGAAAGTGGAAGGGAGTCTATTAGAGAAGAGCAAGGGAATGAAGGAGGGGAGGGGAAAGGGAAAGGCAGGTAATGGGGAAAGATCAAAGGTGTGGCATGCGCATGTATGAATGTGCCAGAATGAAGCCCACTCTTTGGTATAGCCAACATAAACATAAAAATTTTCCTGTTGGGGAAATTTGACTATCTCCATAATCCTGATTTCTTGGAAGATGAAATAAACAGCTTGGATTCAACTTGCTGATGTGAATCTTGAGTGTGAATGACTCCATTTGAATTCTTTGCCTGCTTTGTGCAGGAGCCTGTTCCAAAATAGTGGCTTCCTATACTTTTTATTTAAGAGGAGCAAGACAGAGCACTGTATCCCAAAGGCAGTTCTCAGGTGGGAGAGAAAAAGGAATATAGAACAGAAAATTGCAGTTTCAAGAACATTTTAATCAACATTTCAGTGGCACTGGAGAAAGCAGGTCAGCCCAGGAGCCTCTCTCCTGCCTTCACTGTCAGAAGGAAAGCACCTAGATTCAGAGACTGTGGGTCCCGGAGGGCCTACTACCTGGAAATTTTCCCTGGGAGAAAGCATATATATATATATTTATTTATTTTAAATTGTTGTGAGAGAGAGAGTGGAGCTAGAGGCAAGAGGGCGGAAACACCAAATAGAGGAAAACTACAGTGTGTGATGTGATTGCTCAAGTTTTAAGCAAACTTACTAAGTTTACCAATCACAAGGGTAACTAAATATCTGGAGGAAAGAAGCTGAGCCCCTGGGTCCGTGTAATCGTCCAGTCCTCCCAGATGCCTGTGGCCAGAGGGTAGGGCTGGTCAAAGTTCACATTCCTAAGCAGCAGCCCCCTTCTTGGCCTCCCACTGCTATTCTTTGGTTTTCTTGGTACCGGGGATCAGCTCGGGACCTTGTGCTTGCAGGGCAGACAGCAGAACCACTGAGCTAAATCCTCGCCCCACCCCCACCTCTATTATTAAAAGCACTTTCAAATTTGCTTTCATCTAAATTTTCCTTTTATTTTCATTCCTATAACTCAGATAGATTTGACACTTTCTGCCTGAGATAGTGTCAGGTGCCGTAGGTAGAGGCTCAGTCCTTTAAGATTGTCCTCCACTTCAGATGTCAAGTGCGAGTGCCAGGCTGTGACCTGTGTGTTTGACTGACCTGATGTCAATGGGGGCTCCCACAACTTCCCCCCCTTGGCTTTGCTTAATTTGCTAGTGCAGTTCACAGAACTAAGGAAATACTTCGTTTACATTTGCTGATTTACCATAAAGGACGTTAAAAGGGTACAGATGAACAACCAGAGGAAGAGATGAGCAGGGCACCGTATGGGGAGAGCTGCCCGCTTCCCTGCCTTCTCTAGGTGCCCCATTCTCCCAGCACCTCCAGAGATCAGCAGCCAGACGCTTGTGCAACCTCACTGTCCATTTTTGTAGAGCTTAATCTCCAGCATCTGCCCCCTTTCTTTTTTTTTTTTTGTTTGTTTTTTGGTACCGAGGATCGAACTTGGGTCCTTGTGCTTGCACAGCAGGCGGCGAAACCACTGAGTTAAATCCCCAGCCCCAATCTGCACCCTTTCTTAGAGGTTGGTGAATGAAGCTGAAAGTTCCAATCCTCTAATTCCCTGTGCACTTGATTTTTCAGGTGACTGACCCTATCCTGAGGCTCTGGGTCCCCTAATGGCATCATTAGCATAAACTCAGATGACCCAAAGGGTTTGTAATGAATAACAAAAGACACTCCTACTACTTAGGAAATTCACATATTTTGAGGTCCTGTACAAAAGTATTATAAGAGCTATTCCTATCACCCTTATCATTCAGGAAATTATAAGATATTAGGATCTCTGTCAGAAATGTGAGGTTACCAAAAAACGTACACTGGACAGTCAGCACGCATATCTGGGGAGTCCATAATCAACAGCAGATCAAAAATCTTTTTAAAAAGCTTACAGCCGCACTGACCACACACAGACCTTTCTTGTCCTTATCTCTGAACAATGCAGTATAATGACTATTGACATATGAAGATGATTTAAATTACCTGGGAGAACGGACATGGGTTGTGTGTAAATATTATGCCATTTTATAAAAGGGATGAGGAGCCCCGGATTTGGGGATGGCATTGGCATTTCTGGCACCCATTCCACATGGATACCAAGGAATGACTGACTATATTCCTTACTGTGCACAGTTCTGCTTGAAAGAGAGGATGGAGCCCAGCTTAATGTCCTGCACCAGCAGCGATGAAAACAACCAGTGACAGAATGGAGGAGGGGAAGCAGAACCGCAGGGCTGGGCTGAGTAGTGAGGGCCTTTGAGCAGACAAAGTAAGAGGAAGTTGTAGGGACAGGGACCTGCAGGATGTGCTTTTGGGGATGCTCAAAGGCCTGAGAAGCCCCACCCCTCAATTTCACTTTCTTCCAGAAGAGAGCAAAGGACTCTTATCAGGGTGGAAAAACCCAGAGGGCGGGGAGAAGGATGCAAAGGGTGAGGAGTTCCAGGTAGCAGTAGTGGAAACAGTAGACGTCCTGTTTTCCTGACTGAATCCTCAAGCTGTTGTGGCCCAGGGGACAGCACATTGTAACACAGTCCAAAGTTAGAACAGAAGGAAACTACTGTTATTGTTACATTTGTATCTAACTTAGATTTGATCATAACTAGAAGAGTAACATGATACCTGTGCTGTGCTCCCTGAGAAGTTGTGCGTCTCACTTCTAGAGTTCCGATTTTAATACTAACAACAGCCAGTATTTACTGAGCACTTACTATGGGGTAGGCATCACATTTATCATAAAAATTTTCATTTAGCTGCTCCTATCATCATTTTACAGATGGCAAACTGAGGAAAGTGGTCAACTAAGGTTCCATCTTTGGGTCTCAGAAGCGTGTGCTCCCCTCTGCTGGACCGTGTTGCTTCCTTTGTGCTCGTGTAGAAGGTGATCCTATCTCACACGCCCTGTCCTTGCCCCAGGCGACTTGAAGTGCAGAGGTACTGAGGCTAGGCAGACAGGCTTTTACTAGCTTCTAGAGGTAGGAAAGGGGAGGGGCTACAGCTGAGTCAGCTGAGGGCTGGGTTAGCCTGGTATTGAGGGAATCCAGTTCCTGTAAGGACAGGAGTAAGCCTGGAGGAGGACGTGACAGGGTTTTAAAGGGAAATAATCAGAAAATCCCAGGTTGTAACTTGCCCTCTGGGGAAGCAGCGTTCTTTCTTATACACATGGGAAGAGGAGTCTAGCTGATGCCTTCACTCACTCCAAAACGTTGATGGTAGGTACTGGGTAAAGTGGGAGCGAATGAGGAGTTTTAAGGAGACGTTAAAATACTACGTTTTAAAATGATCACTTTGGCAGGAGGGAGAAAAACAGCTTGCAACCACTTTTTCCTCTATCCTCTGTGATCTGAGAGCGAACAGAAAGACAAAGGAAGAATGTTTAACACCTTCCACCTTTCACGGCCCCTTTGTTAAAGTTCCCAGACTTCCCAGAATGCACCTCCCTGCTCACTTCAGCAGTCTACCTGTCCCATTCTGGAATCCCAGCCAAATTTACCCCTGCTGTTGCCCATTAGGGGTCCTTAGTGTCACCGGTCGGTCTGAGGTTCCCGAGGCTGAAATAAGGAACTTAACGCACCCCTTTAACATAAGTCTGCAGGTTCCCTGATTCCCGTCACAGAAAAAGAATTTTCTGGACACATCAGTAAAAAAGGCATGAGAAAGATTTATTAGGGGTAGATACAGGACGCACTCAAGGGGGCGGACCGAGGATGCTTAGAGAAATGAGCCCCAATACATTTGTATGTATGCTGGGCCTAGGGCGCCTCCCATTGAGTCTTTCAGAGCATGATTGACAAGGGTTCTGAGTCATGTCAGTTGTATTACTGCGCATGTCCTTTCCCATAATTCACTCTGTTGTCATTGGGTGCAGGAGATGCAGTCCATGTGTATGAACTTTCAATAAGCTCCTAGGGAAGAAAGAGGTAACTATAAGCCATACCGGAGACTCTGACACTCTTGCCACTTGGTTTGGGACTTTGGGAATTTTCCAGGGGTTTCTGTTGTTTTTATCTCTCCCTCCAGCTAGTGGGCCTTAGGACAAAGGTCAGGGGTTGGCCCTGGGCATTGCCCCGTTCAGGTGAGTGGAGGAGAGAGGTCTCGTATCTGTAGTATTAATAACGACCTTTGTTCACTGAAAGCCTTTATTTTTTTCCTTCCTCCCTCCCCCCCCGCCCCCCCAGCATTGAGGATTGAACCCAGGATCTTCACCCTGAGTTACAACTTCAGGCATCTTTTATTTTGAGAGAAGGTCTTATTAAGTCTCTGAATTACCTCAGCCTCTAAGAGTTCTGGGACTACAGGCTTCAGTGGAGACAAAAGAGGGAGTTATATCCATAGGTTGTCGGCAGATTGTTATTATTTTTGACATATTTCACCATCTTACTGGTGGCTCTTCAGGATGGAGACACCACCAGGAATAATAGCTACTACACACGTGTGCGCTCCTTACCTCATGCTCTGCACTTTCCCAAGTGCCTTTTAATCCTCATTACATTCTTCTGAAGCAGGTATGATAACTGCCCCATTTTACAGGCAAAGAAATAAAAGCACTGGACCGGGGATTTAGCTCAGCGGTTCCACCGGCTCCCTGGCAAGCGGAGGGACCCAAGTTCGATCCTCAGTATCCCCCCCCCCCCCGCAAAACCCAATAAATCAAAGTACAGAAAGGTTAAATCACTTGTCCCAGATCCATTCATAATAAATACCCTAGACCATCATGCCATACAAAGAATGTTGTATAGCAGTTTTAGAGTGCCTATATAACATCAATATCAAGTTATTTTAAGGTAAGTTTAATTTTATCCAACTCTATTGCTTTAATCATCTGGGTGGAATTATTTCAGCATTTCTTACCCCCACTTGCTTTTATGGAAAACGGGAGAAAAAAGCAGAGAGCTCACAAATTTTTTAGTTATATAATAACAGACCACGCCAAAGTAAAACATTGTGTTAAAATTCCAGATGAACTTGAAAGCTATGTGGTAGGTTTTGGAGAAGCTAGTGCTCAGCCAAGAGACTGGTTTATTACCAAATAGTCTTATCATCTGTGAGTGTGTCTTTGGACCTGATTATCATATTTACATTTCCTGGTTTTCTTTTGTTCCTTTTCATCTGAGTCACTCAGATACTGTATCTCCGAAATTTGTCTTTATAGCTAGAGGGAATGAAAGAAACCGAAACTTAAACATATGTTCAAAAGGAAACCCAATGCTAAAAAATTAAAGCAAGGAGAAATGCTGATAAAATAATGCAAGCTACATCATTGGAGCAACCCCTCTCCTCTGATATTCTCTCTGACTAAGCACACACAAAAGTTTGTGAGTATGATTGCTACCATACAGATACTGACTGCAACAGGTCACAATAAAACTCTGTCTTTTTTTTTTTTTTTTTTTTTGAGACAGGGTCTCACTTTGTAGTTCAGGTGGCCTTGAACTCATTATGTAGCCCAGGCTGGCCTCAGACTCATGACAATCCTCCTGCCTCAGCCTCCCAAGTGCTGGGGTTATAGGTGTGTGCCACTATGCCCAGCCCTTTTGCTCAATCTTGTGGTGGTGTGACAGAGTGGACTAATGCACTTGCAGAAATCAGCAATTTTAACTCATTCTTTCCTTCACTCATTCATCATCCATGTAGTTCTGGAGATTAAATGCAATGTCCAGTACATGCTAGGCAAGTGCTCTCCCACTGAGCCACATCCCTAAAGCGCGCCCCCTTACTTTATTTTAAAGTTTACTTTGAAACAGTCTTGATAAATTGCCTAGACTGGCCTGAAACTTCCAATCCTCCCGCCCCAGTCTGTCTCATAAGTGGCTGGGACTACAGCCATATAATATCAGGTCCAACAGTATTCCTCTGTAACTCAGACTTTTAATCCTTTGACCAACATCTACTCACCCCTCACCCCCACCTCCACGTACACCCATTTTCACTCCTAACCCCTGGGAAGCAGTATTATATCTTTGGTTCTCTAAGTTTGATTATAATTATTATTATTTGGCTTATCATCATGCAATGTTTGTCTTTCTGTGCCTGGCTTATTTCATAATGTCCTCTGGGTTCATCCATGTTGCAGATGTTAGGATTTCCTTCTATTTTAAGGCTGAGTAATGGTTCATTGAATATATATTACACATGTTCTTTATCCATTCATCTGTTGTTGGATATCTAGGCTGATTTTACATTTGGCGATTGTGAATAGTGTTGCAATGAACATCTCTTGGGCAGACTGATTTCATTTCCTTTTGATATATAACCATGAGTAGGATTGCTGGATCATATGGGCATTCTATTTTTTAAAGTTAATTTTATCGGTACATTTTAGGTATACAATATGACATTCATCATTGCGAATTTGTACCTTTACATAATTTATTTTGGTTCTTATTTTTTTTCCCCATTCCTCTACCCTCTCTTCAACCCCTCCAACCCTCCCTATTTACAAAGACTTTGTTTCCATTTTTTCCCTTTTCTCGTATTTATTCCTTTCCCTTCTTTCTGTTCCCCAACTCCTCCCACTTCCCCTTCCCCATTCTATTTTTATTTTTTAAGGGACCTCTACACTGTTTTCTATAATGGCTATCCCATTTTATATTTGCAGCAATTGCATATTAGGTCTCTCTTTTCTCTAAATCCTAGCCAACAATTGTTAACTTTTCCCCTATTTAAAAAAAAAAAAGAAGGGCTGGGGATTTAGCTCAGTGGTTCTACTGCCCGCCTCGCAAGAGCAAGGTCCCGAGTTTGATCCCCGCTACCAAAAATAAATAAATAAATAAATAAAATAAAATTTAAAAAAGCATTCTCAGAGGTATGAGGTAATCTTGTTGTAGTTTTAATATGCATTTTATGATTTTGAGCACCTTCGTATACCTATTGGGTATCTGTATGTTTTCTTTGAAAAAATGTTTTTCAGTTTCTTTGTTCATTTTTAAAAACTGGATTATTTTCTTTCTATTGAGTGTTTGAATTCCTTATGTATTTGTTATTAACTTCTTATCAGATACATAGTTCGCAAATACCTTCTTCCATTCTGTCGGTGGTCTCTTCACTTTGTTCATTGTTTCCTTTCCTGTGAAGAAGCTTTCTATTTTGATGCAGTCTCATTCATGTATGTTTGCTTTTATTGCCCATGTTTTGGGGATCATAGTGAAGAAATCATTGCTAAGACCAATGTTAAGATTTCCTCCCTTTTTTTCTTCTACTAATTTTATAGTTTCAGGTATTATATTTAAGTCTTTAATTCATTTTTCATTGATTTTTAATATAGGATAAGATAAGGGTCCAATTTTATTCTTCTGTATGGTGATATCCAGTTTCCTGAAGACCATTTTTTTGCTTTGTTTTGAGATGGGGGTCTTGCTGTATTGTGCAGGCTGGCCTTAGACTAATGATTCTCCTGCCTTAGCCTCTTGAGTAACTGGGATTACAGGTATCATGCCTGACTCTCAACGGCATTTATGGAAGAGATTGTCCTTCAGTCAAGAGACTGTGATCTTGACGCTTTTGTCAAAGATCAGTTTATCTTAGATGTTTGGATTTATTTCTGGGCTCTTTATTCTGTTCCACTTGTCAGTACGTCTGTTTTTGTAGCATGCTATTTTGATTATTATTATTATTTTTTTTTTGGTACCGGGGATCGAACTCCAGACCTTGTGCTTGTGGGGGAGGTGGTGGAACCACTGAGCTAAATCCCTGTCCTTTTGATTATTATAACTCTATAGTGTGATACATGCAGCTTTTCTTTCTTTTTATTCTCCCTCTTACTATTGTTTTGGTTATTCAGAGTATTTCTTGGCTCCATACAAATTTTAATGTTGTTAGAATACATCATCTCTGTAGATTCTTTTGGGTAATATGGACATTTTTACAATATTAATTCTTTCAAACCATGAACACAGAACATCTTTCCATTTATTTGGGTTTTCTTTAATTTTTCATGAAGATTTTTTTCAGTGTACAAATCTTTTACTTCCTTGGTTAAACTTATTTCTAAATATTTGTGTGTTTGTATATTATTACAAATGGGATAATTGTCTTGAAATCTTTTTTGTCAAGTTCACTGTTATATAGAAATGCTGGTAGTTTCTGTAAATTGATTTTGTATCCTGCAATGTTACTAAATTTGTTTGTTCTAACAACTTATTGGGTGAAATACTTAGAGATCTTTATACATAAAATTATGTAATTTGCAAACAGACAATTTTTCAAACCACAAAGTTTGGATGCCTTTTATTTCTTTTTCTTGCCTAATTGCCCTGGCAAGGACTTGCAGCACTGTGTTGTATAAGAGCAGTGAGAATGGGCATCCTTGTCTTTTTGTTCGTTATCTTAGAAGGAAAGTTTCTAACTTTTCATCATTGAGTATACTGTTAGCTGTGGACTTGTAATAATATGGCCTTTATTGTGTTGAAGAGCATTTCTTTACTTAATTTGTGGAAAGTTGATGTCATGCATAGTTGTAGAATTTAGGCATGGTTTATCCAAGACTGTTAAGATGTTCATATGATTTTTATCTTTTGTTCTATTAACATGGTGTGTGACATTGTTGCTTTGTGTATGTTGAACCATGTTTGCATTCTAAGGATAAATCTCACTTGATTGTGGTGAATGATTCTTTACATGTACTGTCGATTTCAGTTTGTTGATGTTTCCTTGAGGATTTTTTTCACAGCCTCCTTGCTCTGTCAGGATGGTAAGAGAGGCATCACGTGAGTGGGAGAGTGAGAGAGAGCAGGAAAGGCCTTTTTTTTTTTGGTACTGGGGGTGGAACTGGGGAACTTGAGCTTACAAGGCAGGTGGCAGAACCACTGAGCTAAATCCCTGGCCCATAAAAGGACTTTTTATTATTTTTTTATATCAAACCCACTGCCACCATAGTGACATTAACCCGTGTGTGGGCAGAACCCTCACTATGTAAGCATCC